AACAATGTTTCTAGTGTTTTTGGGGATATGCCTTCCTTACCTAAAAAAAAAGTTTGATTTTTTAATAAATATCCTCAATGCATCAATGTTTAAAAACCTCTGATTAAAATAATAAGGGAATTTTTATTAAAACAAAATAATAATTCAAATTAATTTTAACCTTTTTTTAAAAAAATTAAACGTTTCTTTTGTGGTGGTTATAAAGACCGTCCAGATATTCTAACATAAGGTGGTTAACCCACCGCCAGATACATATTTTACATTTATCCTAAAATTATGCCAATGGAAATAGGAGGCTGTTAGACTGAACGCCACATGTTCATGCCGACTACATAAACAGCCCACCGAAGCGTCAAAATATTGAGACGATTGGCGGTTGGTCTTACCGCCTGTGATGAGTATTTCATCATTTTTGAAATAATCTTGCGACGTCCTTACCCGACAGATAAAAACCGCCCTTGTTACGATGTGACAACTATTCCAGCAGTTTTTCAAAACCGCCTGAGAATGAGGTCCCGACTGTGGTAACACAGGCGGATGGTTAACCGCCAAATGGGTTATATTCAGGCGGTTTTGACTGCCTCTGATGGAAAAAACAAGCGCCTTTAATTGCACGGTTTGTTGTAGTGGGAATCGAACACATATCCAATCCCACTAACTCAGCGTCAAGTTACCAACTGAGCTGCACCCATTGGGTTCCCTCTCTTTCTCTGATAAGCACTTTTTTTTTTCTTTTATGAGTTTTTCATATTTTACCTCAAATTTTCTCATTTATTTCATTTATCAGTGAATGGCGTATAGAGTTAGTAGCTGTAAATAAGCTAGAAAAAAACTCGCAGTTTGGCAAATATCTTGTGCAAAAAGTGGGATTTGTTGTCTCGATTCCTTTCTAAATCATTTAGTACGGGCCATATGCTACCCGCGCAAAACAATTTAATTTTATGTGTAAGGATAACATCACATTAAATAAATATAATTAAGAAGCAGTGAACAAATGACTTTATAATATTAGATTAATATATATCAAAAGTTTGTTTTGCAACTCAATAGGTGCAGCTCAGTTGGTAACTTGGCGCTGAGTTAGTGGGGTTGGATATGTGTTCGATTCCCGCTGAATGCGTTCTTGGGGAGGGGCTGAACCTTTAACCATCACTGTTCCCCCGCACTCCGGATTAGTCTCATAGCCGGCTCAAAGAGTCGAAGCTCGTGGGGATACCGGAGGGAGCCAACTCGTCTCAAAGAGATAATTATGGTTGAGTAACTCAAAAAAAAAAAAGTTTGTTTTGCAAAGAAAATAGACCATTAACGCTATTTTAGGATAATTTATTAATATATGAGATTTAAGCTATATTTGGTGTTTGAAGTCATACGTACGTTCACCTCTCTCTCACACACACAAGAAGGCATATCCTTCCAGTTGCATCTAGCAATGTGAGATCCGAGAGGGACCTTTTCAGTTTTCAGTGGAGAAGGTATAAAGACATGATGATTTAAGAAAAGAGAAGAGGCATTGAATTCCAGGAACACAAGGGTTACGTGGTGGAGAGCATCATTAGCTTAAAAAGTGGATGTGTGAGCGCAATTTAAGTAGTTTCCTCAGGTTTTTGCACCTGTTATGGACAAAGTATGAAAAGCACTGTTTTACTCATGCAATCTATGTGGTTTTAAAGTACAAACACAATTCCCAGAGACTTAATTACTTTTAAAAGCCACCGTATACTTTCAAAGCTAACGTCTAATGTTGGGTTAATTATTTATTAATGGATCCGTTTGCACTGAATCATTTTGTAAAAGTTGGTGAAGTTGGTCGGTGATAAAATTAAATAGCTATATTTGTTTTTTGGTATAAGATAGTCTGACAACCAAATAATGTTACTACCAATGTTACTACCACATCTTAACCGTTGATTTCCGCCAATCAACGGTTATCGTTTATTGCGAATTAATAATTAATTAATGAGTTTGATTTGAAAAATGATAACCGTTGATTGGCGGAAATCAACGGTTAAGATGTGGTAGTAATATTGGTAGTAACATTATTTGATTGTCACAATATCCTATCCCTTGTTTTTTAGGGTTTTATAAGAGTTATGTTGTAGGAAAAATGATTGTGTAATGTTATAGAGATTCGTTTTGCGTGCCGTAGTTTTTTTTTTTGCTTCAAAAAGTGTGGGCCCCACAAAATATTGTGTGTGTAGGAAACTTTTTTATGACACGTTAAATTATGAATGCAAATCCCTTTGTTTTATGTGATGCATATTGAGTTATGTTACAAACAGATTAATAAAACCTGAAATTTATTATAATAATTATATGTATTATTTTGGGTGCAATAAAGTTATCATTATGAAAATTATAATATTATGTATTATTTTATTTATATCCCTTTTCATCTACGTGAATGATGGAATGGAATTTGGAAGCAATAAATATAAAATGTAACGCCCCGTCTGCAGCCAGTTAATTAACATTCATATGATAATAAGCGCAGCATGCTTAACTTAATTAATGCGGAAGCTAACTGAACAAATTCTATTGTTTTTCCTTATGTATTGCAAATCTTTTTCATTTTCATGCCCAAAATAAAACGAACAGTATTTCCTCTGTATTTTGGATCACTGGGGATAATTTTCACCAAGATAATTTCAACCTGATTGACAGTTTGAAATAATTCAGACATAAATCATATTACCTAGCCATCCATCGTCTACGTGAATGATGGAATGGAATTTGGAAGCAATAAATATTATATATATATATATGTGTGTGAGTGTGTGTGTGGGGAATTAAGCGATGCTTGGGGAAGGGTTGGTCAGCGTGAAGGCGACTTTTTCAGTTGTTCTTTTTGGGTGATATCACAAAGCATTTCAACATTTACTGTTCATGAAACTAACCTTTATTACTTGTTATCTAACCACATATTGTTTATAAATGAGTTTTAAACTCCTACAATAAAAACAAAATATATTTTGTATATAAAAAAAGAGTTTTATAAGAGTTATGTTGTAAGAAAAATGATTGTGTAATGTTATAGAGATTCGTTTTGCGTGCCGTAATTTTTTATTTTTTTCAAAAAGTGTGGATCCCACAAAATATTGTGTGTGTAGAAAACTTTATTGTGTCGTGTTAAATGATAAATACAAATCCCATAAAAAAATCTATTCATATATAAAGCTCAATTTACCACCTGTATCTCGTGCTTTGAGCTCTTTTATGTTTTCACCAATAATTACGTTTCACATTAATCAGTAATTGAAGCAAAAACTAATACGAAGAGATTGACAATATCCTAGGAACTCCAATTTTGGCATAAGATGAACCAGTCCACTTTATTTAGCACTGTATGGGTTTAAAGCGTTGTCATTTGCCAAGGTTTGCAATTGTTAATTCATCCCTAAATTAAAGCAGTTAATGAACGTACAAAGACAGTCAATCTAAAAGTGAGTGTCAGCAATTAAATGTGACATATTAATAAGAAATTTGATCATTTGCTGGACTTTTATAAAAAAAAAATACTTTTCATTTTGGATGAAATAATGAAAATGCTAAAAGATCTTCTTACAAAACTTCACACGAATAGAACGCGGCACCCATTCATATTCAAGACCCTTTTTTACTGCTTATGATCCGTGTACGTGAAAAGAATCAACAAAAAATAACATTACTCAAATGAAAACAAAATGTACGTGAAAGAGAAAAACTTTAATTGGCATAACAAAATTTAGCATCATATATCTCTTATTATAATTATTATTAATGTAGAGAATGGTGCTACATGTGTGTTAATTTATATTTATATTTATATTTATAAAAATAATAAAAATATTAAGAAGAAGAATAATAATAAATGGTGTTTGAAGAGAATTTTAACTGTATTTTGAGATGTTGAAAATGATTGATGACAATTGTAATTTTAGAATACGAAACATCATAAGTTTTTATTCTTTGTATAAATCTTTAAATTTTAAAAATAAAAGAGTAATAAGTTGTATAATTTTATCTGTTTATATTTATCTTTTACTTTTGAGTAGTTAATAATAGTAGTTTTGAAATAAAAAATAGATAGTAAGGTAGAGAATGGCCTTTATATAAAAGTATGCATTATCATTGATATTATTAATATTTTAAAAAGAAATCATTAACTTCATTTCAACCCTTAATAAGCAGAATGAAAAATGTTAATTGCACATCATTTAGAAGTCCTTTTTACATAAAACAAAAACAATTATATTATTCTTACAAACGAGATTTTACCCTTCTTAGTTCTCATACACTTGTCAATGATATATAAATTATTAATTAATATAACATGTATAAATTAATGATCATATTAAGAATGGCTTACTAATAAGTTGTGAACATATTACTACTTTAATAACAAATTAATACAGATTATTAACCAATAATTTATGCATTGTGATCAGGTGCATGGGAACTGTAAAATCTTAGGTGCACACAATAAGTATTTCCCAAACTAAAACGAAGTGCAAATTTGGCTAGCAGAAGCAGAATATATACTATTGTTATAGTTCTAACTTGGTCAGAGAAAATCTAAATTCTAAGCTATCACACAATGTTAAATGTACAAAACATTCTAGGATGCCAAATGAGATGCAACAAGCAAACTCTTTTCCATTATAATCCTAATTGCACAAGCACTAAAACTAAAAACAAAACACTAGGATATATCTCAAAAGTCTAACTCTTAACGCCAAGCCATGTTTTTTTTGAGCTGGTGGGGAATGACTGGTGTGCTTTGATCACCCCAACTAGCTAACGCAACCTCTAACTCCAAACCTACATAACTTAATTAACTACATGCACACACTTTCATGACATTATGGTTTTCAATCCATATCAACACTATTATCTAGCCCTCCACATTCTAACATATATATCATATGGGCTTTTACTATCTATTTCTCTATCTCTTTGTTATGTAATCATTACATAATGTATTCTTTTTTCTTTTTTTCTTTTTGTTGGTTTGTTAGCTCTAATTAACATATGCCAGGCATGTTGTTCCAGCAAGTTCCGAGAGTCCAAGCAAATTCTTGATCTGTGGGGTCAGGTGAAGTATCGGGTTGAGTTTCAAGTCCCAATGACTGACTTTCTCCTCTACGGTACCACTCAGGCATTGGCATTTCTGAGGGAAAATTATTGAGTAGGCTAAACAAGTCATCGTCCATGGAATTCATCTCTTCCAATGAATCCTCGCCAGCTAGTTTCTTCCCTGTGCATTAAAAGTTTCACATAACTTCCGTGGATTATAACACATTTAAGCATGCCAAATATTGATACAAAATAAATATCATATGAAATACATAAAAATTGGGCCAAATATGTAGAAGAATAGTATATTCTAATAAAAAAATTATTCAACCAACCTTAATAGAAGTCTTAACAAAAATTTATATGACATTAATTAACTATAAAAATATAATTAAAACAAAATTAAGAAAATACTACTCCAATAAAATCATACAAATAAAAAAATGAGACACATGCACGCACAATGCACAAGATTCTAAATCAAATCCATATGCATCAAATATATATATATTGCTGAATAGTTTCACCTGTTGACAATAGAGAAGAACTAAAATCATCCCTCTGTGTTTCATTAGTGGTGTCACCACTGTTCTGCTTCATGGCTGACATAGCAGGCACAATACCTCCCTCCTCTGTGTGTTCCTGAGGCGCCATACTTTTTCTTTTACAAGGCCTTGAACACTCACTCTTGGACTTGTCATTGCGAGAAAGACCTCGAGCCTCCACTACTAGAGCATCCAACAGACCACTGTTTCCTTGAGGTGATAATGGTGCAACTTCATAGTTATCATTAACAATGCTTGAAGCTCCCATCAAGCCATCAACACCACTAGCATAGGATGAAGCAGGGGTGGCCGAGCCAGGTGCTGTTTGGCTTGAAGATATCTCAGTAGTTGAGCCTGGCACTAAAGGAAGGGGTTCATATGGATCAGATCCTGCTATGAAGTCATGATTATAGCTTCCACTAGCAAAACTCTGGTTGAAAAGAGTGGAGGATGGCAAAGCAAGGTTTCTGTCTTCTCTGTTTTCATTGGAAAACTTGAATTGAGGACATGGATTGGTGAAACAGTTAGCAGAATCAGGGTGATTCTGTAGAGGATTTGCAGCAGAATAATGAGTTGGTTCATTGAGCTTCTTAGGGTAGCATGAAGATAGGAGAACAGAGAATGATGAAGATGAAGAAGAGAAAGGTTGTTCAAAGTAATGCTGCTGTTGTAGGTGATATGCAGTGGCTTCTGCATGGACTTCTGGTGGGTAAAGTGGTAAACCTGCTCTCTGGCGCCTTTTCATTCTGGTGTTCCAAAAGTTCTTTATTTCATTGTCGGTCCTCCCAGGTAACTGAAAAGCAGAAAAAACATAACAAGTGAGAGAAATATGGGGTACTTTAGACTTTAGCCCTCAAAAGAAAAAACTTTTAAGAGTGTGGGTCCATATGAAAGAAAGAAACAGAAATGGCAATTTGAGATTCAGACAAGAGACTGAGGTTAGCAAATGGACAGTGGTTATCATGAAATCCCAAATCTGACAATATAAACATAACTATAATTTTTTATTAAAAAAATGGGCAAAAGAACCTCAACATTGAAGTTAAAAAGGTAAAAAGACAAGTTTCTCTTTTTTTTTTATGACAAAAACTTCAATATTTAATATTTTTTTAGAACAATTTTCATAGACTAGAATATAATCGGAGGAAACAAAGTATATAATAAAAATAGATAAATACATAGATCAGGAGGAGCTGAAATGATTTTTCTTCCTCTTTCTTGTTCTTTGTTCTTGGCCATGATCGGATGGCAATCAAACCAATTATACATAGCAGATCTGAATCCAGAACCAAATCTAGAAACAAAGAGGCGAAAAGCATAAAACATATACATCATAGATAGAACAAACCAATCCAAGATTACTTTCGAAACCAAAATGATTGCACTAAAAACCATGAGCAGAGTAAACAAAACACATAAGCGAAAATAAGATAACATGAACAAAGATCACAAAGATGAAAAACTATATATAATTTTATGTAAGCTTTGTTGTTATTATTACATAGGACAGGAGCAATAAGAGGTACCTGTGCGGCCATTCTAGCCCATTTGTTTCCAAGCTTAGCATGAAGATCAATGATGATTTGTTCTTCTTCTGAAGAAAATGCACCCTTTTTCAGATTAGGCCTTAGATGGTTGGCCCATCTAAGTCTGCAACTTTTGCCACACCTTAATAAACCAGAATTCTTCTGCACAGAATTCCAATTCCCTTCACCATATTTCTTCACGTACTCTATCAAAATTGTATCTTCTGCTGGCGTCCAAGGCCCCTTTTTAATACGACCTCTAGCTTCACCTTCATCTTTTGATGCGTTAGTATCATCAACCTCTGAAGCTTCATTGTTGTTGTTGTCGTCGTCGTCGTTGGAGATTATTCTCGCCATAATCACTTGCACTAATAATATCTGAGAAAAAGGGTACCCTCTTCACGAATAACAACAACAACAACAAAAAATGTTACCTTTTCTTCTTCGGTTTAATTAAGGAACCCAAAATGATAGGTGGGGCTTAATTATTAGATGTTGGGGTGTGTTTGTGCTAGCTGAGGTACGAGGATAATGTCATTTGACAGATGGGTCAGAGACTTAAAAGAGAAATTCTCTCTCCTCTCGGAGGAAAGGCTGAAAAGTGAAAAGAGAGGAGAGACAAAAAAAAAAAATGAAGAAGAGACAGGAATTAACAGAGAGACACAGAGAGAGATATAAGGGAACAAGCCCTTGTCTTCTCTTTGTTTCTCTTTTTTATTTTGATATTCAGACAAAGACACTGGAATTTAAGGAGGACGAGAAGAAACGAAACTCAGAGGTGTAGAGAGAGAAGGTGTGTGGGGCCAAAGCTAGCGTTTTAATTTTTAAGGGGTTAATTTGATGTTTAGAGAGAAACAAACAAAGAACAAGGGAGAGAGAGAGAGAGAGAGAGAGGGTGATTTGTGTAATTAGAGGTGTGAGCTACCATTTCGCTCCGCGTTGCATGCTAAGTGCTACATCCATAGACGCGTTTATCATCTCCATCTTCATGTTTTCATATACATGCTCTTGCCATTTTCTTCTTTTTTTGGACTCAATTGAAAGAAAAAAAAAACCTTTGAAAGAAACAGAGAATTTTCTAAGAAAATTGAAGGAAATAAGCTGGTGTAGTTGAGTTGTAGAATGAAGACTTTTAAAAATATTTTATATATCTCCTATTCAATAGTAAATATTTTTATGGGAAGAGTGTTTGTTCTTTTATATGACACAACTTGTGTCATTTCACTTTCATAAAAAGGTGTGTGTTCTATAATTTTATTTTTTTTGGTCCACTCTTTCTCATGATTTATCTCTTTTTCTCACTTAAAATGACATAATTTTATATCCTTTAAAATGACACACATTTTTTTCTATTTTTATATAACAGAAAAGTCTTCTTTTTTTCTTTACTAGGTGTCAATTATTAAAGTTCTTTGGCTACTATGGAAATGATTCCCCTTTTGTTTTGGCTTTTAATTATTTTTTATAAATGATATTTTGAAATCATTAAACATGTGGAGTTAAAAATAAATTATCTGCCACAATCTTACTTAAATATGATACTTTTAAGCTCAAACGGTTATATTCAATTTCATCATTTGAAGTTGAACTTCCAATCATAATATAGAGATATGCTATCATTGTTTTCAGTATTAAATTTTATTTTTTTCAATTTTATTTCATATTTGTCTTTATTGTCTCATTTTGACTTTTACTCCTAATAATATTTTGAATTTTCTCAAGAATTAATTCCCTTCCATTATATGCAATTAATATACATTTTGACTATATATTAGTGGTGGAGCTCGGCTCGAATTTGAGCCCGAGCCAAAAAAGTTATATGTCTATTTATTTTTCTTAATTTTAGTTAGTTCATATTATAATATATTTTAGTGGCGGAGCTGGGCTCCAATTTGAGCCCGGGCCAAAAAAATTATATGTCTATTTATTTTTTTTAATTTTAGTTAGTTCATATCATAATATATTTAAATTATATTAAATACAGAGTACTTGAGTAGGCACCACGAAAAAGAGTTATAATTTTATTAAATATTTTTGAATTTTACTAAAAAATATTTTTTTTTTTTTATACAAGTGAAAATTGAACACATAACCTAATACAACTTAGTCAAATCTTTCACCAAAAATATTTTAAGTTTTAGATAGAGCCAAATTATAAATTGTAACCCGGGCCAAATTATAATTTTAACCCAAGTCAAATTATAATTAATTATATAATTATATATAATAAGTACAATTTGTTAAAATTTAGCCCGGGCCAGGCCACACCAGCTTATATATGGCTCCGCCACTACTATATATATTAATATTACACTCATAAAAAGGTTTAGATTTCTTTTTTAATATTCTATATTTTAAAGATATTATAATATTGTGTTGGTGGGTGTGTGTGGCGGAAAGAAATCTGTAGAAATGTAATATTTTGTTTGTCTATATATTTACCGCTTTAACTATTTTATTACACTTATAGAACTCAATTTTGATTAATGTCATCAAAAAGAAAAATCATTAGTGTACATTAATTTTACTTTGTGTAGACAAAACTTTTATTTTTCATAAGAAGTTGCTGAAGACCTCCTAAGCATCTTGAAATATATCTTTTGATGATGTCAAATGGTTTGCAAGAAGTCTCCAATTAAAAAAGGAGCTTGAAGACACATGGAAGCATAGCTAAAAATAAATTGGTTAGATTTCTTTGTAACACATTTTTTATATCACTAAGTATCATTCTAAGCTCCAATACATAACATGCATTTCATGTAAAAAAGTAAAAGTTGGATTTAAAAGTTTGAAAATGTATGTATGTTTTTATAATATTTTTAAAATATTGAAAATTTAAAATTTAATTCAATTTCAATTGCTGCTCGCTAAAACCCTCACCTTAGCGAGTTATTTTAGCGAGATGTAGGTTCTTACTCGTTGCTCAGCTCGCTATAGCGAGAATGTTAGCAAGTTTAAGGATGATGCTCGCTGTTCATATCGCTATAGCGAGCATTCTAACGAGCTGGGTCGTGACTCGTTTTAAAACACATTTCTCTATTCACTCATCGCTACATTTTTTAGAAATCACTCACTCACTCTTTCTCTACGTAAAATAGCTTCTCTCTGTAAGATTTCCATAAAAAAAAATCCTTCAAGAACCATCTTCATCTTCCAATTTGAATCATTGAAGTCCTATGTGTGTAAGATCTAAGAGTGTGTGAGAGAGAATCTTTTGTCCTCATCATCTTCCTCCCAAGAAAATATATCATTATCTTGAATCTTTGCACATAGCATAATTTTGGAGCTTGGATTGTGCTTAGTGTGATATATCTAGTGTGATAGGATAACGTAATTTTGAATATTTCTTTTGTGATAAATCTGAATATTGTATTGTGTGTTAAAATGGTGTGCCTATATGTGTGAGATTTGTCCTAGGTGTGTTGGGTGCCACCAAGAGGGTTGGCAACCTATTTACTTGGCTTGAGAATGTTTCTTAAGGCTTGGAGCCTTTAGAATCTACTAGGGAGTGTTGAGTTCTTGTGTGAGGGGAGTTGGTGAACTCCTAGGTTCGACTTGAGAAAATTCTTAGAACTTGGAGCAATTTAGGCACTAGGATAGTTTTGGATATTTTGATTGATTGTGTGTGAGACATGTGTTTGTAAAACACTGTTTTGTGATCAATAAAATATCTATATGTAATTCAATATAGACGTAGCATCCCATTGCATAAAGGGGTATGAACCAGAATATATCGTGTGTTTTTCTTTCTGATTTAATTTTTGAATTTTCTATATAGAGGTTGAAAGTTGATGTGTTTCCAATGTGTTATATATTAAAGGTCAAATTGAGCATTTAATTGATCTATAATTATTCAAAAGACATTAGAATTGTGATTAAATTGTTAATTTACTCTTAGGAGTATTTTCATGAAATTCTTATGTTTTTCTAAGGAATTTGGCTCAGTGAAAGAAGACCAAGTTAGATAGCTCAACAGGAAGCAAGGAACAAGAAAAGAGCAAGTTAGTTGCCGCTACTAGCGCCAACCGTAAGATTCTAGCGTGAATTTCAAGCTACTAGCCCCAAGTGACCCAACCTTTAAAGCTTCTCCATGCTAATGGTGTGGGCATGGAGCCCTTGGCGCCATAAAGACTAATCACCTCTGTTTGCTCGCGCCAGAAGCGTCATCTCCACGCTAGACACATCAAGGCATCAAGTGCCAAATCTTTCCCACACTAGCGGCGCTAAGGTAGCGCGACTAGCACCAATATGCTAGTAAAATTAAAGCTTTGTGATATTGATCAAGGACGTGATTTTAGTAAAGATTTGATTGATTATTTGATTTAAGATCTTGAAGGATTTTTAAAAGATACAACTTCCTGATTATAAAAGGAAGCTGGAAACCAAAAGAAGGGTTTTGCACAATTTAAGAACAAAAAGACTAGAGGATTGAGAGATCAAGTGGAGTGAATGAAGATCGAAGCAACTGTGGAGATCGACCAACATTCCTCTTTTAACCTTTAATCTAATTTCTTTTCCATACTTTCACTACTAGAAAATGCGCAATTTGAGACGAAAGAATAAACCAAACGCAACTTGCGATGGATATTGCGACTGCGTAACTTTGTTGACAGACTCAGACCTATTTTATCGTCGCAAAAAAATGGACGCACATTCCTCCGTAAGTTTGACGCAAACCCGAAGCAAATTGCGACAGAAGGATTTACCGTTGTAAATGTGAAAACTTTGTGTCGGAAGTAATTACGACGAGCATATCACTCACAAAACTGTGGGGGATAATTGGCGATGATTTTTCAATTATATCATCCGCAATTTGCGGTGGTTCTTGCGACTATATTTTTAGTTATGCTTTGCGATGATTTTTGTGACTTTTATTTCTGGTATTTTGCGACGGTATACGTTACCGTCGCAGAGTTGAAAATATAATTACATGCATTTTTTTATACACAAAGTGCCGATGTCGATCCCTAACATAATATCATATACAAAACAAAACAAAAATGGATGGAAGGAATTACATAAAGAAAATAATTGATATGCAATTAGCAAAGTAAATAGTACAGATCAGAGTAGAATGAAGTAGTAACAAATGAAATTGTCGTTCGTAAATAATCTTACACGTATCTTCTATAAATGATACATGCATATAGACAATTGACAACATGCTTGCTAATGGTAATTTATGCTAGGTCTGCTTAAAAAATGCAAAAGGCATAGGGAATTTATGAAACTGTGCACGAATAGTAGTACATACCACAATCATTGATTTTATTTCAACAAATAACTTGGAGACATCAAGATTTTATGATATAGAGTTTCATGTATTAAGTGAACGAGCAGGTGTCATGCCATATTAG